CCTGAGCTTCCACTAACAACAAATGAAGGAATGAGTTTTCTTTAGTGCTAATCTTTATTTCTTCCCTTCCTCATGAAAGATGTTTCTGTTGACCACTTATTTAAATGTCGAGGATGATATATATTGCTGTGAGCATATTTTTCATTGCTGAACTTGGCTGATTTTATATCAACCCATGAGTTCAGAAAAAAGTATAGGGCATATGTGACATTCCTCAGGTGGCATAGGACATATCCAGGAGACTGAGAACTCTCATGTCCTCTGATCATGTTTCTTCTGTGACATTTTATTAAACTTTTGTCAATGTTCATTTTGTCACCTTGTTTTATTGCTTTTTAAAATATCTCACCTCTTTCATTCTTCTCCCTAGGGAGGAAGCAACTTACGGATCCTTGGGGTAGTAAAGTCAGATGAAGGTTTTTATCAGTGCGTGGCAGAAAATGAGGCTGGAAATTCCCAGGCCAGTGCACAGCTCATTGTCCCTAAGCCTGGTAAGATGATGGTGACTGTTCTGATACCTGTGATTACAATTATGCATGGTCCATTTGTTTTCTTTATCCCTCAAAGTCAACATGAAATTCTTTAACTAATCAATGAATGCATTTGTATATTGATGATATGTTCCTTCTAGCAAGTTGTTTCTCTATATATTATTTTTTTATATACACACACACACACATATATATATAAATAAAATTTCAATGAGTAAAAGTCCGCATAAACAAAAGAGTCTCTGGTTTTCAGGACACTAGCCACTAAATTATTATCTTCTCTCACTTTTGTGGTGTTTTTTTCCCCAGAGATCTATATAAATATAAAATATAATATATGGTATATGCATGTATTTTAGTGATATATGTATATACACACATATATGTATATGTGAAGACTACATGATCTATAATCTCCAATTCATAGAAACTAGCAAAAAATGGAAATAACTACTTGAAAATAAATCTGTTTTTGTCTTAAATAAATTTTGATAAAATACCCTATTCTATTGTAAGTGATAAAGTTTTTGTTTTGTATTGTAGTCTTTGGGAGGTTTAATATGCTGGTGTTTTGAAAACTAGCATAGACCTATATTAGGCCTATTATATAATATTCTCAAAATAGTCTAGCTCCTGCCAGGGAGGAAAAATAAACAAATAAACAAATAAGAGCAAAACAAAGGAGAAGAACAAATTGATTAGCTGCTCTGAAATGGTTAACACTAAAGAAGGTTAAAAAAATTCATTTTTTAAAAAGCAAGAACTGAACAGTTGTTTCTATAGATCCAAATACTTTGAAATGCTAATACCTCCTATAAAAGGCTTTCATATCATCTATTTCTTATATAGATTTATACTCTTTTATGCTGGTTTTCTTGTTCTCAACATGGTTCACTCTTGTTTTAATCTTTCCCTGCAGTGAGTTTAAGAGAAAGTAACTGAAATATATGAGACCTAATCTTTTTTTGGCTTTTATCATTTAAAATATGTCTAAGTCCTTATATTTTATGCACTCATTGGTAATTATTTGAAGACTCTTATAATAATGCTCACAAGTTGACTTTCTCTTTTTTTCTTGGTTGAATTTAAAAACAACAATAGCAACAGAAACAGCTATAGTACTACAGTCCCAAATGACCAAAGGAATTGTCTAGGAATTAAGAGGGACAATTAACTTTCATTTGAGATTGCTGATTTCTCTGATGGACTGGTTTTTTTCCCCTTCATTTGATGTGCTGTAAGTGTTAATGTAACTTAATTTGTGTGACTGAGTACATGCTCTTCTAATGGAGAGGTAAAAGAAAAGAAAACTCTAAAATTCGGATCTCTAATGTGAGTCATGTATTTCAAACAACGCCATGTCATTAGTAACAGCAATATGGCCATATTTAAACTAATACTGGATGCTACGCAAGGCACGAACAAGGGAATTCTCTCATAGTTAACCTTGATTTTCAGCCACGACCATAAAATGCAAGAGAAGTAACCCCATATTCCTAAAGGAGATATGAGCTATATCCTCTGACCAAAGCCCCAGTGATCAACCCTCTCAAATGCCCACAGGAATAGAGGATTCTTTCAAGTGCTGAAATTCAAAGGAGTAGGGGATGTCATGGTATTTTCCCTCCCCACAAGCCAAGTTGTGGAGATACTGGAGAAATCTCCTTGGGCAGTTCATGGGGAAGGGAAATGAGGAAGGCTTCTGGGTGCATGTGTATACATTACTGAGAAATGATTGCAAAGTAAGGGAAATGAGGCCTAACCTGGTGGTGCAGTCAGAAGTACCAAACCGAACTGCAGTGCTGAAGGCCACATGGCCAACCTCGGGTGTGGATCCTCAAGTCAGATTGAAAATATTCCAGGTTAATGCTTAGGTACCCAAGAACCTAACGAGATGGATGGCCAGGGAAAGGGGACCTCAGTTTGAAGAGACCCTGTTAAAAGTGCTTCTCTCTTTGTCTCTGTCATGTTCTTACATGTGTTCTCTATCATGAATATATATTTTTTTTAATTGGAAAATGGTTAACTTAGTCCATCTGAAAATTGGAGCCACCCACAATGCAAGGAGAAAAGCTGTGAGACGGCAGTGGGGGAAAGATGCTTTATTTCACCTTCAGAAGAATAACAATGTGAGTCCATTTGGAGAAAGTGCTGAAGTTTTCTTGACAGAACCTGCCCAAGAAGCCTTCAGTTGAGGGTTCCCCCCAGAAACTAAGAGGGCACTGCCAGAGGTAGAAGCTACGGAGCTCCTGCAGGTCAGCCAGACAATGCCTTGATAACTTCAGGAAGGAGTCAGTGAGGAGATTTCTAAAGTTGGAGTGGGAGGAGGTAGCCCAAGAATGCACAAAACTACCCTACAATAAAGAGGCATGCAGATGCCTCCCGTAATTGTGGATTTGTTTGTTTGTTTGTTTGTTTGTTTGTTTTGAGAGGTTTTCGCTATAGGGTGCATGCGCTCGCCAGACAGACAGAGAGACACAGAGAGACAGAAAGCGAGAAATCACCCCCCCAGGGGGGATGGCCACACCGCAATCCCTTCTCCTCCATTCTCCTCTCGGGATCTTGGGCACGCACGCACATGCACCCGGCGTGAGTTTTAAGCCACCGGATCTGGGACGTGAACCACGGTCGACTACGTGGGAATCTAGTGACATAGCCATTACGCTAACTGCTGGTTCCCCGTAATTGTGGATTTTTGAGAGCACAGGCTTTGTCTTTTGGCCTTTGGAATCCCTCCTCCCCTTTCTGTCCCTGGAGAAGTCCTAAGTGGAAGGGAAGAAATGGCCGTTAGAGACTGTTACCACAGATGCCAGATAGTCCAACTATTCTCTTCCCTATTTTTGGTCTCAGGCCTACTTTGGGAAATGGGGAGAAAGTTTAAGTTGAATATTTGCTTTGATCTAGCTCTCACGTGTGTGTGTGTGTGTGTGTGTTGTTATTGGATAGGTTGTTTGTTTGCTTAGTTTTATTTTATAAAACCTCAAGATAAGTCTTTTAAAATACTTTTAAATGACCCCAGGGCCAGAGGATGGGCCCAAGTTGTGATCAGGGGAGGGAAGACATCTGGCAGAGTATATTTGGAAATGGATGACAAGAGAAAAATAAAGTTGTTTCCTTTTAGTACTCCAGTAGTTCAGCTCATTCAATAAAACAGTTATGGACATTCAATTTCACATATCCCAGGAAGCTCTCATTTCAACAGGTAGCCTTTACTAGTGGTATTGCATTCCATTTGGGCCCTAATTTCATTTAGCTCTGTGTAACCATAAAGGAATAAGGTGTTCCTCTGTGGAAATGTCATTTACCTCCTTACTGGAACCAGCCTAGGAGAATCTTGATAATTCAATCTTTTTCCATATACATGGAAGAGTGTTGTCAGTGGATTTTACACTTTTTGTCAGTGCTTATTGTATTTGGCATTGGATTAGAAAGAAAGTAAAAGAAAATGAGGATAAAAATCTGAAAGCATGATAGAACACCATTGTGACTGTCTTACCGTTCCCTCTTATAAATGATGGATTGCTTTTTCCTGGCTATTTAATCAGGTCTTCAAATAATGCCACTCCAATTCCTCAGAGATGTAGCATAGGACACATGCACAGATGGTACAGAGGCCAGCTATAAATATAAATTAAGCAATGAGCCTGACCACGGTGGGAAGAACATAGCCCTCTCTGTTTAAGCTTTGACAATAAACGGTCACCATATATTTTGAGGCACATTGTTTGTCCCCATTGCCCAGCTGTTCAGCTTTGGCCTGTCCACAGACTTGTGGCTAAGAGTTACTCTTGGCAACCATCACAATCTGCTTCTAACTGAAGTACAGACAATGACCCATTTGAGTCAGTGTTCATTGATGGTGGATATTTACATAAGCCTAATGAAGTTTCAACACAGTCTTTCATATATAGTTAGCTATTCCCTCTTTAACAATTAGTGGCTTAGAAAATAAAGCAAATATAATCTACTAAATTAAATTGAGTTAATGACTTGTTTCTCCATAAAGTAAGTGTAGGAAAAATATTTGAAATATCTACACTATAAAATGTGAAATATGTACATGGTTGCCTATCAAGATCAGGGAGGTCAATGGCATTTTAAAAAATCATTATAGTAATACTATAGAAGGCTCTATCAATACTAGTGTATAGTCAACTGCCTGCCTCTCTATATATCTAACACACACACATATTCGTACTCAGAAGATAACCTCTTGCACACTTAAGACTTTGCATATACACCATAACTATTTGTCCATATTATATAAATAGTAATGAAAGCAAGTTGAACTGATTTATATCACTTGTATTGTCTCCTTTAAGATCCATGGACAGGGTTTTATTATTGTTGCTGTTGATGGTGTTTTTTCTCATTAATCATGAGGCGAGGAGTTGGAAGTTGGTGGGAGCTGTTATTGATCTCCCTCTCTTTGGCTCTTTGTCTCTCCCTGGTAAGTGCCCACATCCTTTGGGGAGGTGAGTCTTTCCAAATGGAAGAGATTAACTGTGGCTTCAAGTCCACTTGTCAGTGAGTAACTTGGCAGAAGTATGTTTTCAATGTGTTAGGTGTCATCAGAAGACATTTCAAAAACCAGAGTTAAAAACAGTAAGCGATAAGTTAGGATCCCATTGATACAGAGGATGCTAGTGAATTAATTACCCAAGGCACCATCTAGTAAACTGGCATGTGAGAAGTGATTAAGAAGATTATTTGGTAGGTGCGTAGGGAAGTTAGCAATTATCTACTGCTATGGAGAGAGAAAAACAGGCAGAAACAAAAGATAAAATATATTTAATATATCAGTTTTCTCCGAGTTGGTTATCTTGATTCCAGCTATAGAGTGGTGTTCAGATTTCTGACGGTGACTACCATGGAAAGGCCCTGAAAATAACTGACTACAGAGCAGGGGAGCTAAAGGTCGCAGAACTGGGACTGCACCTATGCTTGGGGTGTATGTAATTTGAAATGTGTTTTGTTTAATGGAAGCAAGATATGAAGAC